AGTAATTCGTAATATTAGTCCTAATTATTACCCTTATGCTACCGAAGCGCTAGTTATAACTGTTGGGGCTGTACGACCAAGAAAAAGCGATATAAATATGAAAAACGCCGTAGTGGAGGGCTCCCAAGTTTTGCACCCTCTGGGATTCTTTAACATGAACTTAAATCTAGGCACACGGACCTTTAGCTGTTTGCCCCCTAATAAATGCGGCTGAAAATAGGATAACAAGCGCGCCCAAAATCTGCCTAAGGACACCGCTTGAGGTGATGCCCAATTTCTAGGCCCATCCCGTGTGCGTGACGTCACAGCAGCGCGCGGAGGCCTTGAGTTAGTCTAGGTGGTGGTGCCCCAACTCTAACCATATTTGACTACGTTGACAACACAGTTAGCCACATGTGATGCCATTATAATTTGAGTCACATTTGAAATCACGAGATTACTAGAAATGCTCTGAACGCCTCACACCCCTCCCACAAGCAACAAGCAAAAATAGAGCGAGAAACAACTTCACGCAAAAACACAGTCAGACAAAATAGACAGGGATAATAATGGATGAATTCCTAAAATGAGCCCAATGTTCTGCAATACATTCGTAAACTGATTGATTGATTTGTGTAGTTTAGCAGCCCAAAACCACCATATGATTATGAGAGACGCCGTAGTGGAGGGCTACGGGAATTTCGACCACCTGTGGTTTTTTGACGTGCACCCAAATCTGAGCACACGGGCCTACAACATTTCCGCCTCCATCGAAAATGCAGCCGCCGCAGCCGGGATTTGATCCCGCGACCTACGTAAATTCATAAAGTGACGCATGCGTGTGGCATAGTATGCTCCTGAGAACCGATGCAGTTTATTTATATTTTTTATTTACAGAATACTGCAGGCCCGAAAGAGGGTCCAAGCAGAGAGCGAATGTACAAAGAAATGTATTTAAACAATGCGAAACGCGCACAAACGTTAAAAATGTCAATAATACATAATGAGCAAAACATAACACAGTAAAAACAAAAAAGTAAACATGAAAAGAAGGAAGGTGCAAACCGTACAATCGTTAAGGAACAATGCGAAATGTATAGACACCAAAAGTAGCCAAAAAACTAATATTAGACACTAAAATTTAGTCAAACGTAAAGTGTTCAGATATTTCAAGTTAAAGCCATAATAATAAGCGTGCGTGATATGTGAATACTCATATACACGTGAAATAATAAACAATAAAAAATAAAACCTTCCCAGAAGTTGCGATATTTCATTAGATTGTGGATCAAGGAACCCGTGATAACCAATTAATGAAGGTATAAATTTAATATATGAATGACTGTAGCATCAAATGATAACATGTTCCAAAAGATCAGCGTTAGAAAGACGTGAAAAGGGTAGGTGGTTCCAATATGTTATGATGCATGGAAAGAAAGAATATTTGAAAAGATTTGTTTTTGTACGATAACGTGTTAGAGTCAGTGTGACGATTCTAAGTGAAGCATCTTGCATATTTTGGCTATAAAAAATAAACGGAAACTCTCTGCACGTTTTTGTCATTAGCAGGACTTTGTCAGATTATATAAAGTCTAAACCATTGTTATCACTTCAGGCGTCATGTGTTCCACGCTGTGGTGAACGCATGCGAGAGCAAGCAACGAATGCCTCCTCTCCCTCCTCTTACTATCTCTCTCTCTCTCTTTCTCTCACCTCGCAATGCCTACTCAGGCAGTGTCTGCTAGCATTGAAAAAAAAAAACGACTGATTGCGCTGCACAACCATTCACTGGCCACCCCGTATGCATAGACACTGAGTCTTGACTTAAAGACAATGCCAGTGGGAGATGTTTTCTGTGCGTTGTTGAACAATGAAAATTCGTGCATGAGCGTTAACTAAGAGTGGACTGCGGGTCTCTGGGTCCAATTGGAGTCTTCTGCCACTCACTACCCATTAGCAGCGAGTGGCATGTTTCAGTCGGAAACACCAGTCTATCACTGCGTGCCTTTCACATCCCTACGTTTTCTCCTGTGCAATGCAGCGATGCGCGCCAGCGTTATCGCCGCCAGTGTAAGCGTTAAGGCCCGCTGCTTCGCATGTACACGTGGTTCCCTTTGGCGGGAGATAGCGTGCAATTTTATCTCTTGGCTAGTCAGTTTATGTGGATGTACAAGCCACAAAAACAAGGCTGTTCAGTCCTATGAAATACCCCTGGTTTTTTTTTCTTGTTTCGTCGCGCAAGTACTGCCATATTTCTGTGGCCTGTACATGAACTCCGCATTTTGCTTCAGGAGCTATTTGTATACAGCGATATCTCCACTGTGCAAAGCTTTCTACAAGTAATTCTCAGCTCTGAGTTAGATCATTGGCTGTGAAGTTATAGAGAGTCCGAAAGTCGTTTCTCTTGTTGTTATGGCCACAGTTACCCTACGCATGCGTTTCGTTGACTAACGCAATGGGTGGGAAGTGGGCTACTTCGTATTTTCTGATTGAGATGTTTAGCGCAATATGTACGCAGCATACAAATTTGCGAGAAAGACGCATTCTTGTCCTTGGCACTGGACCTTTTTCTTGTTGACTAACTCCGTGATGAGGAATTAAGGGCTGTTTTTTAGCCGTACCTCATTCAACATTGCAATTTCTTAATTAATTCATTGTTTCGCCCTTATGCCTTGTCTGTGACTTCTTTTGGCCAGAAGGTAATCCTTTTTTTAGGAATGGCATTGTCCTAATGGTAGGGAGTACCATAATTTTCGTTCGTGAAATGTGGTGTACATGTATAAACACGTGGTACGTCGAATGTTTTCTGTCCACTATTCCGTGTATTTTTATGGCACTGTGGCCTGGAAACTTTGGATGATCTCTATAAAAATAATATTCATGTAGACACGGAATCAAAAGAGAACATCTATCGGGTAGCGAATTTACTGCTCCCAGACACACCATTGAGAAATTCTATGTGCTGCGCAAGCGTACTCATTGCATCATGGTAGTATCGTCCTACAGTGATGGTCCGTATCTGCATTCTCTCCACTGCGGTTACTAAGTGGGAAGCTGATTACGAAACGAGATGAACTAATGCGTCGTTCGCCTCGAAACATTCACCATCACCTCTATGCTAGAAACTGATAACTATGAATTGCGTTGGATTAGTTAGAGAATATTAAAAACTGTGGGACTTGATGTCAAGTATGCGGTTGCGTTACAATGTAAAACTGCGAATGCTGTGTAATCCATGGCTTTAATTTTTCAGGTCCAAGCTCTTGACGTGTATGACCCTTCCGACATTTATGGAATGGGAATTCCTCTATGGGAGCAAACAGGTGGAAAGTCCCTGGAATGGAAGCAAGGTCGCATCGCTGTGCCTCACACCAGGAAGGTAAAACCAAGATTTATTTAGAAGTATATAGGCGTGCGTGCATCAAGAAAGGAGTGCTTTCAAAGGCGCTTGTTTTCTTCAAGTTCACGGATCTCTGCCACGCAGTATGCTAGACTCTTTTTGACCAGTTATAGGTTATACTTTTATAGGTAAGACGCGTAAACCTGCAATACTGAAACCTCAGTTAACAGCAAAACACACATCTATAATTCTTGATAAGACTTAAAATGTAGTTCAATATCAACTAACTTTATAACATAGTACTTTTATGAAATAATAAACTCATTTGATAGGGGCATTGTACGAAATATATGTTAGCTATGACGTTTAGAAAATCCTTAAAACTGCCGATTTTCATTGATGACGAAAGCAGCACATCGTCAAGATTGTTTACAGACTTGTGTAGTGAACGTAGTCTGTTGCAGAAAAGAAAGCCAACAATGAATGAAGCAGTCGCCAGAGTTTACGTTTGCTTAGGCTCACTGCCTGTTTGCTACTTGTTTGTCTCCACTGATAATGGCTACAATTAACGTTAGTAAAAGAAGCCACGTGAAGCTTAAAAACAGCGCATTTCTATAAACTAAGCCAACCTATTCATGCATTTAGAAACACTGACACTTGCATATGCCTAGTGCTATTAGGCAAGTAAAGCTGAATTTACTTGGTGCAGTCTTAGTCTTTATAATCTTGCATGATTCCTACCAAATACTATGTGCCACCGGTACTAAGAGATCGATGGCCAATTCACATTTTCTTTGTCGCACGTTAGTAAGAGGAGACATCTTAGTTTTTTGGCAACTGTGGTTGTTGTTACGGCTTCAGTAATGCGATTATATTGCAAGAGAACCACATGTGAATATTGAGACCTGCTAAGTCAAGTAGGCATGAGTAATGCGATGTTTCATAGGTACTGCAAATAAGAAGTGAGGCTGGACTAGCATGTTCATTTTAAAGTACTACAGATGATGTGTTAAGAACGCTGACAATAACCAGCGGACGAGAAAACCTCTTCTGTTATTCGTTTTGTTTTATGTACTTTTTATGTTCCCCGTATATATGCCACCTATGATTTTATCACATTGAATTGACACGGCACACGCGTTGTCACTTGATCTTATGTTGTCTGTGTTGCTAGCGTGGTTTTAAGTAATAAATGTATGGCTGTGTATTCGCGCACAGATTATGATGATGAACTTCTTGATATAATTAAATAAGAACGAGCTGTAGTGTGCTTGTATGAAAAAAGTAAACGGCAACTGGCATTTCCTCTCAAAGGGGTAGCACAGTTGGCGATATGGTAGCCTAAATCATTACTTCTATATATAGTTTTAAATCTCTAAGGCACGTATATGTTTTAGCTGTCGTTCGCAATTCTTATCACAACTGGAAATATCATACGCCTAACTCCATTAGGTGCCGAACACGTTACAAACTGACCTAGTTAAGCAATAAAACTGTTGGGGTGTTGTATGTATTTCCGAAATTTATAGTATTGAACAGAAAAAGAACAAGCAGCGCTGATCTTCTCATGAATATTCACTTACTTCAAGGTAAACTTTGTCGGAAGCACCGGTGATCCAAGCACGCCAGGCTTCATCGCGCTGGATGATATTCTATCCTGCATCATGACAGGTGTGAAACCATGCCCCAAGATGCTGAAGCCCTGCCTGCAAGTGAGTGCGCTTCGTTACGGACTTGTGATTCGCAGCTATCACTGAAATTTATATTTCACCTTTCAATACTGTGAACTCTAAAAGCCATATAGAGTGAGGATAACTACCACTGGAACTTGTTATGTATTGTTGTGTAGTCGTATTTCCAGGACCATAGTATAAGTCAAATGTGAAACTTTTATAGAAAAGAACACAAAGAAAATTTGCTAAGAGATACCAATATACCAGTAAATAACAGTGGTAAACAGAAGGAGGGAAAACAGAATTCGGATATAGCGTGCGCTACATCAAAGATGTTTTTCTCTTTTTTATGAACGGAAAACGTCGTATCTGCTTCTTCACAGAGGTACTAAGCATGCGTTCAGCTCAGAATGCTCTTACACATCTTGCTCCTCAGGAACAAATCAGAACACACACACACACACACACACACACACACACACACGCACGCACACAGACACACACACACGCACACACACGCACACAGACACACACACACACGCGCACACACACACACACACAAACACACACATACACGCACATACACACACAAACACACACATGCTAATTCACATACAGACACGCATATACGCACTCCCTTACTCACACGCAAATATACACGCACTCACTCACTCATATACGCACACACATGTTCACTCACACATAGACACGCACGTATGCACTCAGTCAAACATATACACACGCATACACACGTACATGCACGCACACACATGCTTACTCACACGCACACGCACACACTATCTCACACACACGCACACACACGCATGCACGCAGACACATACTCATTCACACACAGACACGCATAGACGCACGCACTCGCTGATTCTCTCTCTCTCACACACACGCGCGCAGGCGCGCAGGTGCAACAGGCAACCCAGCACAAGCCGAGCTTCAATAGACTCACATCCTTGGGGCAAGGAATAAATCACTGTATATTGGTTTCTTTTGAGCGCTGAAAATACTGTAGGCTAATAGTGAAGATCAACTTGGTGTATTCGGGAATAGTGTGCAATCACACAACTGTTTCTGCAATGCAGCGGAACTCGTCAGCTGTTCATTGGCTGGCTGGAATTTCTGCCATTGGTCATCCGCACCACCCTTGCCTGAAACGTGGTCCTTCCAAAGCTCTTCTTCGTCCATCCTTGCTCCAGTCGCTGCTCCAGGGAATATGAAAGGTAAAACAACTCACCTGACTTTTGTGCGCACTCGAACGATTGGCGCTGACAGCACACATTATTTCCTAAATTGACTACTACAGCCACACATGCTGCCTGCATTGGTTGATGTAATGCATGCACTCAAAAAAAGGAAGAAAATACCTTGTTATTCTTTGGGGGAGTATTGTCTTGCCACCTGTGTAGCTCTCTAAAAAAAGACACGCTCAATTTTTTTCAGGTCCACACGAATTTAAAAGAAAGGTATTATGGTCTCTAGATAAAGGTCCCGTGTCTCTTTAAAGAAAATTGTATACGTCGAGAGTCAGGCGCACAAAGAGAAGAAAGAGAACTCAAAGGTCTGTTTTTTTTCTCCGTTAGAGTGCCCAGTACCGGAATAAATATCAGGACAGTGCTTGGCTTAGTCGGACTGACGTCATCTTTTCTACCCTTGTTCGGAGTCACCAACGTACTTCGATCTCAGTTAAATCAGTTTCCTCTCCTTGACTTGATGTTCCCTACTTCCTTTGTTTTTTCTATTCATTCATGTCTTCATTCCTCTACTTTTATTCTTTTCTTCCGGTGTGTATTCGCCCCAGTCAAAATGAAAAGTTTCCTGAAGAGGGAATGCAGTTTGAACACTGGTCAATAAACGTGCGAGCAGTGCAGCCTGAGGCAGAGTGGCAGTGTAACGATGTGCCTTCATTTTCACATGCAATTTTAGTTTAGTTATTTGTAGAGGAACAGAAAATAATTGGCTCCTATGAGATGCCACAACACCTCTATCAACCTGCCTCTCTGTCTCGGCCTCCTTGTCAGTGACCTGGTATTTAGGCTAATCCTTAGTATTAGTTGTGCCACTTTGACCGGATGGTAAAGAAACCTAGATATGTGTTTCTATAATATGTGAGACACTCGAACAGACGAAAATAGGGTTTTGTGAGATGGTTTCTATAAAGAGAAAATGTCGAGATATGCGAAAGAAAAATGAAGGCTAACGAAGTGCCATGCAGTGGGGTGACTTTCTGCATCCTGTTTGAAAAAATTGTATTTTGGTACACACTGGTTTACCTTCATTTTTTTTCTACACAAATATGCATTATAGGTCAAAAACCACACCAATAAATAGCTCAACCACTGGTTTCTAGGTTGGTCATATAGGGCACGTAGATAGTGTTGTCAATCATCGTAGAACTGCTGACCGAGAACTACAATAGTAAGGTTGTTTGCCAAAGAACAGGGTTATAACGAGATTTTTTCAAATACGATTGGCTCTCCCACCATCGAGATTCAATGCAAGCATGGCATTGGCAGAAGGTAATCCTAGCCACAATAGTGCAACGAGTATAGTGCATGTACGCTAGGGCACACCGCACCACACCGTACCATATTTAGCAGTGATGCCAAGTGCAGCTTTCATTCAGAAATAGGCTTTCAAACCATAGAGTTCATTTAGCTTTTATCCCAACCTCAACTAAATTGCATCCAGTCACCATAATTCATATCTGTACATGTACGCTACTCTACCTTCGCCTTCATGATTTCACTTTAAATGTAGACTGCCGGTCTCTGAAAAAGGGAACACGCGATCGAGTGACCTGCTCTTTACAACGGCCACCCACTGTATCTTGTAGCACTTGTCCAGCGACCATAACTAGTTGTTTTGTTTGCCATTAGAGATGTGAGGTTTAGCGTCCCAAAAACACCATATGAAGATGACAGACCCCGTAGTGAAGGGCCCCGGAAATACCAACCACCTGATAGCTTTAACGTGCACCCAAATGTGAGCACATGGGCTTACATAATTTTTGCCTCAATCATTTGTTTGCCAACAGATGACGCCAAAAGCCAACATCTTTTCATTTGCTGTCGGTTGATAATGGTCCCGTGGGCAGCCACTGTAGAGCGCGGGCCATGCACTAACGTGACTTTATTCCTAAAGAACGACAGTGTACACAAGTGGCGTGCAAGATTTTTTGCTGCTTGTTTTGTTAGATAAATAAATAAAAAATATAATCTGAGCCACTGCAAGGTGAACTTGGGTGCCGCTTATTGCTTTTCGGTCTCATGATGGAAATAAATTTTTGAATTTGAAGTTAACGCACTGGTTTGCGCAACGTAGACGTTTGATATGTGATAGATTGATATGTAGGAGTTTAACGTCCCAAAACCACCATATTATTATGAGAGACGCCGTAGTGGAGGGCTCCGGAAATTTCGACCACCCAGGGTTCTTTATTGTGCACCCAAATCTGAGCACACGGGCCTACAACATTTTCGCCTCCATCGAAATTGCAGCCACCTAAGCCGGGATTCAAACCCGTGACCTGCGGGTCAGCAGCCGAGTACCTTAGCCACTAGGCCACCACGGCGGGGCAAAGCGTAGACGTAACACTGCGAATGTGCCGAATGGTTAGCTCGAGTGTCTCGAAAATCATGTTGAAGAGTGCTTTGTGCAGCGTACCTGAGGCGTGTTTCACATCCTAAAATATTCTGTTATCTCACAAATTACCGGGGAATCAGTTCGGTGACGGTAATCATCGAGCAAATTTTTAACAGCTCACATCTATGATTAGCAACAACAAGCCCGATTTCGCCTCGCCGTGGTGCTCTAGTGCATGGCTAAGGTACTCGGCTGCTGACCCGCAGTTCGCGGGATCAAATTCCGGCTGCGGCAGCTGCATTTCTGATGAAGGCGGAAATGTTGTAGGCTCGTGTCCTCGGATTTGGGGGCACATTAAAGAACCCCAGGTGGCTGAAATTTCCCGAGCCCTCCACTGCGGCGTCTCTCATAATCATATGGTGGTTTTTGGACGTTAAACGCCCCTTATTAATCAATCATCAACAAGCGCGATTTCATATCATGTTGAGCGTTGCGACCTCTAGGGTATAAATTTTCTTCTCAGGTCCATTCGACCTAACAAATATTATATTGCTAATATCTGTGACTTTGCTCAACGCAGGCAACGTAGCATACCTGAAAGGAAGAAGCCTCAACGGCAACCGTGGAACAGCCCTGCTCAACTCGCCTCTGGTGGGACCCCAGCCGGGCTTGGCTTGTTTCTCGTTTTGGTACCACATGTTTGGTGGGCGGAGCGCCACACTGTGGCTGAGCGTAGTGAATTCGCCAACTTCTTTTGGCACACAGACTTCTCTGCCGCTGCTTATTCAGCAGGGTCGCACGACGGCAGACATTTGGCACTACGTACGGCGGACCGTGAAGCTCGATAGCGTCCACAACAAGGTAAGTTTCACACCGAATCTCTTTCACTGAGCCTCTAAAGTATTTGCCCCATTATGCAACTCTGGCCGCATTGTTACTTAGACATAATACGCTGCTACCATTGTTGAAGACACGGTCATAAGTTAAACAATATATAACAGCTCATTTCACAACAATTAATCTTTCTCACAGAGTCCTCGCTGTAGCTTTTATGAAAGCTTTATATGCGGCTTTTGATTTCTCTTACAGCAAGCTGACTTAAACCATTGTATTCAGAAGCTATCTATCTTAAGGCGTTGTTAACAGGATGACTTGCTTTTCCATTAAAGATATTTCATTAGGTATGAAACATGTGAATCGGCAACCACCGGTAAAGTACCACTGTTCCTAAACAAAAAAAAAATGTCTTAAAGTCTTAGGCATTACCACTACTATTGCTTTTCTTGCACATTGGGCACAAACTTTTAGAATCCAAAGGAATTCAAGAAGTTTAGAATTACGCAGTCTGCAATGAGAAGTAAGCTGATAGGCATAATATCAAGAGCTACTTAGTGGAGTGGATGACGTAAAACTAGGTCTAGTCGAAATCCTTGTTGGGAAAAAAGGGGAAAGGGAAAAAAAGTGGGAAGGCCATTTATTAAGACGCACAGATAACCAATGATTCATTAAATACATCGAAATAAATCAAAGTCGCAGGAAGCATAGACTACTGCTGCAGAAGGTTAAGTGAGGTGGTGAATTTAAATGATTTCAAGGGTACATAAAAATTAGCTTACGCAGATAGGCGCAAATCAGATGTCATTACAAGAAGCTTCCGTCTGCAGTAGGAATTATATAGGCTTAGAACGATGACAAATATGAATATATGACTTAAAGGCCTTTGTGCGTCAACCAAACTTTGAATACATTTCGCGAAACAAGAGGTCATCTTGTTTGAAAGAATTCCACCACTGAAAATAGACAATTGAAAGAGCTGTAAGTTCTTTCCATCTCCATCGGAAATCCAGCTGCCGCAGCCAGGATTTGGTCCCGCGAACTTCCGGTCAGCAGACGAGTACCTTAGCCACTAAACCACCGCGGCGGGGCACAGCGTAGACGTAACACTGCGAATGTGCCGAATGGTTAGCTCGAGTGTCTCGAAAAGCATGTTGAAGAGTGCTTTGTGCAGCGTACCTGAGGCGTGTTTCACATTGTAAAATATTATGTTATCTCACTACTGACCGGGGAATCAGTTCGGTGACGGTAATCATCGAGCAAGTGTTTAACAGCTCACATCTATGATTAGCAACAACAAGCCCTATTTCGCCCCACCGCGGTGCTCTAGTGCATGGCTAAGGTACTCGGCTGCTGACCTGGAGGTCGCAAGATTGAATTCCGGTGGCGGCGGCTGCATTTCTGATGAAAGCGGAAATGTTGTAGGCCCGTGTCCTCGGATTTGGAGGCACGTTAAAGAACCCCAGGTGGGCGAAATTTCCCAAGCCCTCCACTACGGTGTCTCTCATAGTCATATGGTGGTTTTGGGACATTAAACGCCGCTTATCAATCAATATCAACAAGCGCGATTTTATTTCATGTTGAGCGTTGCGACCACTAGGGTATAAATTTTCTTCTCAGGTCCATTCGACCTAACGAATATTATATTGCTAATATCTGCGACTTTGTTCAACGCAGGCAACCTAGCATACCTGAAAGGAAGAAGCCTCAACGGCAATCACGGAACAGCCCTGCTCAACTCACCTCTGGTGGGACCCCAGCCGGGCTTGGCTTGTTTCTCGTTTTGGTACCACATGTTTGGTGGGCGGAGCGCCACGCTGTGGCTGAGCGTAGTGAAGTCGCCAACTTCTTTTGGCACACAGACTTCTCTGCCGCTGCTTATTCAGCAGGGTCGCACGACGGCAGACATTTGGCACAACGTACGCCGGACCGTGAAGCTTGATAGCATTCACAACAAGGTAAGTTTCACACCGAATCTCTTTCACTGAGCCGGTAAAGTATTTGTCCCTTTATGCAGTTCTGGCCGTATTGTTACTTAGCTATAATAATCTGCTACCATTATTGAAGACACGGCCACAATATAAACAATATATAAGAGCTTATTTGACAACACTTCATCCTTCTCACGAAGTCCTTACTGTAGCTTCCATGAAGGTTTCATATGCGGCTTTAGATTTCTCTTACAACAGGCTGACCTAAATCATTGTATTCTGGAGCTATCTATCTTAAGATGCAGTTAACAGGATGGCTTGCTTTTTCCATTAAGGATAACATAATGTTTCATTAGGTATGAAACGTGTGAATCGGCAACCACCGGTAATTTACCACTGTTCCTAAACAAAACAAAAATGTCTTCAAGTATTAGACATTACCAATATTATCGCTTTTCTTGCATATTGGGCACAAACTTCGAAAATACCAAAAAAATTCGGGAAGTCTTTAATTACGTAGTCTGCAATGAGAAGTAAGATTATAGGCATAATATCAAGAGCTTGTTAGTGGAGTGCATCACGTAAGAACTATGTCCAGTGACATCCTAGTGGACATCAAGGAAAAAAAGTGGGAAGGCCGTTTAATAGGAGAGACAGATAACTGATGGTCCATTAAACACACCAAAATAAATCAAAGTGATTGAAAGCATAGACTACTGCGCAGAAGGTTAGGTGAGGTGATGATTTCGAATTATTTCTAGGGTACATAAAAATTAGCTCACGCAGGAAGGCGCAAACCAGATGTCATTACAAGAAGCTTTCGTCTGCAGTAGGAGTAATATTGACTTAGAAAGATGGCAAATAAGAATATGTGACTCAAATACCCCGGTGTGCCGACCAAATTTCGAGTACATTCTGCGAAACAAGAGGTAATCTTGTATGAAAGAATTTCCCTACTCAAAGTATACGATTGAAAGAGCTGTAAGTTCCTTCCGTCTGCCTCGGTAGAACAGTGACAACGGTGCTCGGCTGCTCGCACGAAGGTTGCGGGCTCGATTCCGACCATGGCTGTCGCATTTAGATGGTGAGGGTATGCTAGATGCTCGTGTACTGTGCGATGTTAGTTAACGTTAAATCACACCACTTGGTCAAGATTTTCAGAGACCTATACTACGGCGTCTATGATAATCGTCGTTTGGAGACATTAAACCACCAGTAGTAGTTAATATTATTATTTTATCACTTAATTTCTCTTTCTTCATTTTTTGAATTCTCGTATTGCGCAGTTGATACACACGTAAAAGGCACGCGAGCATCTACAATGTGACGCGACTTTTGTTTTGATTTCACTCGCGAAGACTGTTATCAATGCGTCACATCACGTTACAATTTTTCAGAAGCTTCGCGGTTGTTTGAGATATGTTTGAGGTTCCTAACAGTCTAGTTTATTTGACAGCTTAGTCTACCAACAACGATAACCCTGGAATCTTCGATGGCACATGTATAAAGGCTGACGCGCTTTACCACTTGGAATATTATTGACAGCCGACGCGCTGTTCGCCGCTATCATTGCATGGCATCTATTGCTCCTATTTGATTCTCTTTTTTTTTTCGAGCACAAGTTCACGCCAATTAGAGAGTTGCATCTTTAATAGACGAAATGGGACCTTTTGCTGTCACGACGAGGAGACAATGTTTCTCTATGATGCTATGAAATTAAAACGCTAACTCTCGCAAGCGCAACCAACTGTCCCTTTTTTATCTCTTTGAGTACTTGAATTTACGCTTTAAAGTGACTTTTAACATAGTACTGTTCTATGTTGTGGTACAAGAAGACTTGAATGACGTATTTCCATCACGGAAGTTATGGAAAAGAAGTATGCATGATTAGAAGACAAATAAAAAAAGACCTCGACGGGAGTCGCACCTGTGAGCTCTGATTTCGCGCCTACAGATGCCGAGCACGCTATCCACTGTGCCATGGTCTTCTTTTACATACGTTTCAGGCATTAAAATTACACATTTTATATCTACAGCACTGTCCGCTCAGAACGTCCTTGGCAAAGTGCAGAATTGCATGCTTCATTACAGTAATATGTGAACTTGGTTCCTTCAACGCGTCATTTATAAGCGTTCGTCTTAATTGGCGTGTTACCAATAGGAAAAATGCAATTTCGTCGCATCTTTAACGCATCTCCAAGTGGCGACCTTACACCAATTGTCGGTGTCGTTCATATTATCTATCTATACCAAAAATAGCTCTGCGACACCCGCTGGCTTCGCGGCTCCACGTTCGCCACTTACGCTCGCGCCACGAATAATCATGGCCGGCAAAGGAAAGACACGACGCGTTGCGCTTCCCTCTGGTAGGGCATTGGTATTCAATAACTGCAACATTCCACGAGTGCCAACAAGATGGTAGCATGTCGATTTTCGATCTTGTCTTTGTGCGAACCAAGATTCCTGGTGAAATTCAATGTGATGTGGTTGATGGAATTTCGGACCTTATAGCTGTCTTAGTTCAAGTTAGTTAAATTCAATGCAACAGTTATATTCAATACATCTGTATCTTCAAGCGTGTTGCCAGATGACTGGAAACTGTTCTAAATAAGTCCTTTATTTAAAACTGGCGACAAACAACTGATAAAAAATTATCGTCCTATTGCTCTAACATGTTCTTGCTATAAGTTATTAAAACACATCATTCATATACATATAACTTTTTTTTTCTTTATAACATTCTATTTTGTCACCCACTCAGCATAGTTTTAGGCGAGATTTTTTGGCTATAACCCAACTTGTCGAAGGAGTTCAAGACTTCGCTTCCGCTATAAATGATCGAAGTCAAACTGATACATTGTTTTTGGACTTTGCCAAGACATTCGACAAATCTACTATACAAAACTACAAATTAGGCTTCGCGGAATACTGAAAAATAATCGGCTTTGTAATTGGCTACAAGCATACTTGACATTGTCGAAGCAGTATGTTGTGTACAATTAACTTCCTTCTAAATTTTTACCAGTTATATCAGACGTTCACCAGGGTTCTGTACTGAGACCTTTGCTTTTCTTGCCATTTAAAGTGACATCAGTGAAGGTTGTATTTCAAGACTTCGATTGTGTGCTGATTCCTGCATTTTATATTCAGTTGTAAATTTACATGGTGACCGAGCAAATCTCAGTGCTCACCGCAATCAATATTGAAGTGGCGCAATACAGGGCAGTTGTGTGTTGATTCTGCTTAAAGTGTTGTATTGATAATTACAAATATGAAGCCCACAATAATATTTGACTAAACAGCAGACGGCAACCAAGTTTTACGTCTTTTCAATTTCAAGTACTTAGGTCTTCACCTCCGTCGTGATATGCATTAGAATATATGTACCAGATAAACTATATTGCAAATATTGCCATGTATAAATTCCTTAATTTGACGTGATGCATTCACAATTCTAAGGACATTAAACTTTTAGCGCACGGGCTACTGGCTTTACGTCTGCTTGAATATAGAAACGTAATGTGACAGATTTACCACTGGTAATATTAATAAACTGGAAAGGATGCAAAATGAAGCAGTCAGGTTTATCTTCAACAAGTATGATATTACGTCTGTTGCTGAACTGAAGGGTCGAGCAGGTTTACGGATACTGTCGGACCGAAATAAAATAACATGCCTTCGTTTTATGTTAAAAGGTGTTAAAGACAAGCTAAAGAGCCAGGCTCATGCATACGTCACCTCTTCTTCAGGTTACAATCACCACAAGACGCAGAAATTCGTTCACATTACTTCCTTATCAGACAAAAAAATAACAATGCTTCAAGTATTGCTTGATAGTTCGTGGGTCGACGTGGATGACATGGATAAATTCAAGACTCCCATTGAAAATAGTATTTAAAATATAATTCTTTCTTTATTGGGTACCTTTTACTTATTAGTTATTTGTAATATCAGTTGTTGTTTCGCGAATCATGTCTTTTTTAAGTTTCTTTTCTTGTTTTCTTTTTCTGATTGTTATTTTTAGATGTACTTGTGTGAATTCACCCTGCTACGGCCCCTGTGGGGCTAGCAGTATTGTAAATAAATAAATAAATAAATGATAGGGCAACACCAAGTTCGGCCTCCAATGTGTCACGTTTTTGAGGCTTTCACATCGCAAGCACCAAAGACATTGCGCAGAAGAGAGAGGACAAAATGAGGCACAGGCAGGGAAGTTAACCAGGAATTGGAGCATCCGATTTGCTACCCTGCACTAAGAAAAAGGGGAATGCGAAAAATATATGAGGAAAAAAGAGCTAAATATACACGCGCAAACGAAAAGTGACCTGGGGTGCTATAGCCTATTCAACAGGTTACTACCACGCAAAAAGTCTAATAAAGTTGCACTGGCTTTGTGTGCGAAGACACATCATGTCAGCTCTCAAGTACTCACAATTCTGACAAGGGTCTCTCGTCAAGGCGAGCTAACGCAGAAGCTAGCGGCCGTCTTGGCACGCAGTAATGGGGGCAGTGACAAACGTGCTTCATCGTTTCATCACTGCCGCAATGATCGCAAACAGCACTGTCTTTCATGCCGAATAAGAAGGCGAAAACTTTGGTGAAAGCAACACCGAGCCACAGTCGGCAAAGCAGCAAGCTTCTGTTGTCTCAAGACGAGAGAGTCCGGACAAAGCCCGAAGTCGACGAGACGGGTCCAGCCTATGCAGTCGCGTGTGCCGTAACCACCCAGTGTTCCACATAAATTTTGCTTCTTCATTTGCAATTTTTCAGATTTTAATTGCATCATCAGTCCTTAGCAATGGAATAGATTGCGTAAGCTCTCATATAAGATGTACAGTAAAATTTAACTATTTCTGCAAGAACACGCTTCACTTTCGTGTTTTACCGATTCGTATGACAAAAATATCAACCATCTCTTTAGGGGCGAAGCTCCTTAAGCTGTGGGTCGTGCGTCCACGATGTATGTAATAGTTGTAGTAGTCGTCGCCGTTGCATCTGCAGGTAACCACCTCCGCGGCTGGACTAGA